GCCAAGTACTGTAGTACAAAGTGAGGTTAATGCATAGGAGGCTAAACCTCTAAATTTACACCGTGAGCCAAGTACTATAGTACAAAGTGACGTTAATACATAGCTGGCTATGCCTCTAAATTTCACCTTGAGCCAAGTACTGTAGTACAAAGTGACATTATTACATAGGTGGCTATGCCTCTAAATTTACACCATTAGCCAAGTACTGTAGTACAAAGTGACGTTAATACATAGTTGGCTATTCCTCTGAATTTACACCGTGAGCCAAGTACTGTAGTACAAATTGACATTAATACATAGGTGGCTAGGCCTCTAAATTTACATCGTGAGCCAAGTACTGTAGTACAAAGTGAGGTTAATGCATTGTAGGCTAAACCTCTAAATTTACACCGTGAGCCAAGTACTGTAGTACAAAGTGACATTAATACATAGGTGGCTATGCCTCTAAATTTACACCGTGAGTCAAGTACTGTAGTACAAAGTGACATTAATACGTAGGTGGCTATGCATCTAAATTTACACCGTGAGCCAAGTACTGTAGTACAAAGTGACTTTAATACATAGGTGGCTAAGCCTCTAAATTTACACCGTGAGCCAAATACTGTAGTACAGAGTGACATTAATACATAGGTGGCTAAGCCTCTAAATTTACACCGTGAGCCAAGTACTGATGTACAAAGTGATATTAATACATAGGTGGCTAAGCCTCTAAATTTACACCGTGGGCCACGTACTGTAGTAGAATGTGACATTAATACATAGGTGGCTAAGCCTCTAAATTTACACCGTGAGCCAAGTACTGTAGTACAAAGTGACATTAATACATAGATGGCTAAGCCTCTAAATTTACACCGTGAGCCAAGTACTGTAGTACAAAGTGACATTAATACATAGGTGGCTATGCCTCTAAATTTACACCGTGAGCCAAGTACTGTAGTACAAAGTGACATTAATACATAGTTGGCTAAGCCACTAAATTTACACCGTGAGCCAAGTACTGTTGTACAAAGTTACATTAATACATAGGTGGCTATGCCTCTAAATTTACACCGTGAGCCAAGTACTGTTGTACAAAGTGACATTAATACATAGATGGCTAAGCCTCTAAATTTACACCGTGAGCCAAGTACTGTAGTACAAAGTGACATTAATACATAGGTGGCTAAGCCTCTAAATTTACACCGTGAGCCAAATACTGTAGTACAAAATGACATTAATACATAGGTGTATATGCCTCTAAATTTACACCGTGAGCCAAGTACTGTAGTACAAAGTGACATTAATACATATGTGGCTATGCCTCTAAATTTACACCGTGAGCCAAGTACTGTAGTACAAAGTTACATTAATACATAGGTGGCTAAGCCTCTACATTTACACCGTGAGCCAAATACTGTAGTACAAAGTGACATTAATACATAGGTGGATATGCCTCTAAATTTAAACCGTGAGCCAAGTACAGTAGTACAAAGTGAGGTTAATACATAGGTGGCTAAGCCTCTAAATTTACACCGTTAGCCAAGTACTGTAGTACAAAGTGACATTAATACATAGGTGGCTAAGCCTCTAAATTTACAGCGTGGGCCAAGAAATGTACTCACAAGGGAACGTCACTATAAAGATGGCTAAAGCTCTTAATTTATAAAGAGATGCAATTAATGTTGTACAAAGTGACGTCAATGGAAATTTAAAGCGACAATTTACAACTGACTAAAGAATATACAATAAAACTGTTTAACCAACCAATGAATATGTGTACTTCTTTTGAATAGACTTCAGGTTAGGTTAGGTTTGTTCAAGATATAACATTCGAACATTTGTTTACTCGTACAGGCATATTTTCGCCACCTAGCAACCTGTATAGTCTCTCTTAAAATAAATGCAATACCACACGAGTATTTATAGAACAAAGCTCACAAGATAAATATATTTGTGTGAAACAGGCCAGACACTGTATTCATAAATCAACTCAGCTATGTGCGATATGTAGTACATGGTCTACATCTCGCTATGAAGTATATTATAATGTTCTTCCTGTTGCTGATTTCCATTGGATCAGTTGCATATATATATTTATATTTATATGCGGAATCATCGCCTGTGGATTTGCAGGGACGGGGAGATGTAGCACACTTTACGTGGAGGTTAGAATTTAATTGATCTGACTGTGACAAGCAGTCTCTTACAGTTTTGCATTGTGTCTACTCTCACTAAAAGCATGTGTAAATTAACACATGTTCTTATTGAATTATATATGCAAATGTACTGTGAATATGTATGACGGATTGAGTACTACATAGTGGCATTTCACATTGTACTGTCGGACAAGCAGTTAAATAAGAAAGATCAATGGCATATATGAAGCCACCATCAAATTATGTGAATGTTTTGTAATTATATGACTATTCTGTTGGCAATCATTTGGTGTCTTCTGACTTCACGAGATCATATTTCAGGGACGTTTATATTACAACGTGTCAAGCTATGACCCCTGTACCAAGAATGCATTGCATAAAGATACCCTACATTACCATTTGGTATTGCTATTCGTATTGTAGTTATGTCGTGTTCAGTATCACTATGTTTGTGATCCAGTTATTCAATCTTTACATGTGTTCATCTAGAAACAGTACATCATTGATGACAGTTGAAATAGTGAACACCACCACGCAAAATAACGTCACACATAGTCTGCAAAATTGTGATAATAACAAGACTAGAGATAAAAATCGAACAGAAAACAGGTGAGTAATTGCAGGGTGCACACAACTAACCCATAATGACACAAGAATAGTTGATGGTTTAAAGGCGCACGTTCACAAACAATTCTCATATATTCAGGCATTTCGATATGACTAAAATGGCTCGAGACTGTATGTAATAAAAAAACTAGACGTCATGTAGGAATATCTAACTTACTAGTGAGAATTGATTTCGTTTTCGTTTCCCGCAAAAACATTTTTAAGGGTGTAGAACTAATTGTATTTTAAGGGATTATAATAAATAATGTTTGAAATATCAAATTATTCAGTATCACTATTATTAAAATAACAAAAATATTCAATAATACAAAGTACATGAAGCTGAATGATAAACTAATGGAATTACGTGCCATTAATTCAATCAGTTACATAATTCAAGCAGGTGATTTTTACACCAGAAGTAGCGCACTAGCTAATTTTATTGCTTGCGACTCTACCACACTACTTGATTACTGTCTCTCACACCTTCTCAGTCAAGTAATTGAAATTTGATATAGGTCGGATTCGTGTGGAATTCGACCATTTGCCATTAGTATATACACTAAGTCATTTGCCAAATCATAACCTCAGTTTATCTGCAACAGATCAAGAACCCGTGACATTCAATTATACAATTTTAACAAGGTCTTAATATATCTTGACACTGGAAGCAATTAGTTTTATACTATACTCAACAAACAAACTAAGTAACTACCTTGGTTTAAAGGCATGTGTATTAAAATGAAACGACCTTTATGCAAAGTACACCGGGGAGGGTCGTCTGCTGTAATCGAATATTTAGGAAATCATTTAAATCTAACTAGGAAGATTTGTAAACATCGATAAAATATGCATTGAAAGACATCATTTCATGAATAAACCAAACAATTACGGAAATGAAATTCTGTTTATTTTAAATACACTTAAACTAGGTAAAGTGGTGCCAAATGACTTTTTACTAGTTTTTGTATCAATTATTTTCCCGATTTTAATCACTTTTTGATTTGATTTGAAAAAAAGTATTACATTTGTGGTTATTATTCCGCTCTTTAAAAATGACAACCAAAGTGATGTAGAGGTCATGCTTTATTAAATTTTCATTGAAGATCTTCAATAAAAAATGAAAGGTTGAATAAGTATACAAAAACAGTGAATCTATATGTGATTGTCAATAATCTGTTAGACGCATTTATATAGTTATGTTTATGCTCGCCTAGTCCAGGAAAAAAAGATGCATTTTTGTTCTCATAAATTTCTTTTAGGTATACAGAACCAGTAATGTAAAACTAACATTTATACAAATGAAGCATCTGGTTGGGTTTAAGGGCATACTTGGACCTGAAACGTATTTATCTTTAGTTCTAAGTTAATTCGCAGCATGGCTTTTATTTTTCTACCCAATATTTGTCATCTTCGGACTTCTGATAACACTGACGGACGTTGCTTCATCTTATTCTTTGCGTTATGCAGAAAGCAACCTTAAATATAACGTGAAATTGAAATCAGGTTTTTAACGTGTGTCTCTTATTTTATTGTTAAACACTTAGTGTGATGTTTGCATTAGGGCCAGGCTAATGTATTAAATGAAACATCAAACCGGTTACTAGAATGTCATTGAGTACATAATTTCTACTATTAATGATATACTAAGTTCACCTTGTAATGCAATGTTATATTTAATCACGAAATCCCGTGAATGTCACTATTACTCACTTTACATTCCGGTATTCTTTTCATGTCTATAGTGTTTCTACTTGACGTGAAATAAACAAAACTACATTGCAATGACTGGAGTAATTTCATAATTAATAACTCTCAGTTTCCATTTTTGTCTCGAAACTTTTTTTCATTCGCATCTCGCACTTTGCTACAGTACATATAACGTATCTGAAATTCAGACTGGTGGTTATTATTTATTATATGTTAACTCAAATTAGAGCTTCCGTTCTTCACGAAATGAACATTTCTGAAAGAGGTCTCCACAATGTACCAAATCTGTGTTACGTTTTCGGTATATTATAATTTAATTTCTGTCTTTAGACAAAGAGTTTTATCACGAGAGCAAACATTGAATTCCTCGTGGGTACTTCTGCAACTTTTCAAGGAAAAGAAGTTTGCGCAGTACTACAACATTTCATTAAATTTACGAGTATTGAATTATAACACCCTTATTGAACTCATTTGCATACTTATTTGATATTATGTATCTCTATTCACTTTACAACTCAATTGTAAAAACTTCTTCTTTTTTGTAGCAACATGCTGCTTACCAAACTTGTCGCAAAGGGAAACCCATTCACAATTAATATGTTCAATGAGTCTGTCTTAATTCCACGACAGAAGACATGTGCCGTGGTTGGTAACAGTGGGATTCTCTTGAATAGCAGTTGTGGTAAAGGGATCGACTTCAATGACTTTGTTATCCGCTGTAACCTTCCGGACATTGAGAAGTTTAGTCATGATGTTGGAAAGAAGACGAATATTATTATTCTTGACAAAACAAGAGTTTATGATATATTCAGTTATGCGAAGAAACACAGTGAAACTCCAAACCTCTTAAACAATTTTATTTTCCTAAATAACACTGTACTTTGGTCAAGTAGTTCAAATACCTCTATTAGATACAGACGTCTAGTTTATTCAACAAAATATCTCAAAGAACAATTTGACCTGAATTTCAATGTGACTTACTCCAGCTCGTTAAGACCGTGTTTTAGGTGAGAGTCAGTAAATGCGAAGAACACAAACCATTTTGTAGAAGTAATTTAAGTAACATGTTGTTGTCAGGAAACAACTATTCATCATGAGTTTGAACATATGTATGGCCCGCATTTAGTTGCAATTGCAATACGGATTTTCAAACATATTTATCAGGTCAAGTTCAATCGCACATTTCCAGTTGTATGTTGTTTACTAATGTATTTTGTTTCAATTTCAGGTTATTGAAAATCAAAAGTATGGTAACCGCGGGGATGCATGCCGTGTGTTCTGCATTGCGTCTTTGTGACAGAGTCAGCATTTACGGATTCTATCCCTTTCCCACTCGACCAGATGGCAGTATTGTCCCCTATCACTATTATGACGAACTGACTTTATCGTCTAAAACACGACATGATTTTAACAAGGAGCACTCAGTTCTTCAGTCATTGGGCAAAGATGGACTTTTACATTTTGTATCTGACAAATGCAATACATGATAAAAACATTACTGTGCTGGGATATCCGTAGTTCAATATGAATGTATTTGGAATGAGAGTGTATACTTCATTTATGTAAAGTGGAATTCTATTAGTTTTATATCCAAATCATTCCTATTGTGTTAATTGAAACCACAGCTCGTTGGTGAACTTAATTTGAATGCGTCTTTAAAATATATTAAATGTGAATATTTAATTACCCTCAACAATTTTCACATAAACCTTCTCCGGTTTTACAATGACCCAAAACATATATCGGTCTTGGGACGCTTGTCTCTTTTAGCAGCAATTATTACATTGTTCAGGCACCAATAAAACACACTATTGCTAGCATAATTTGAAACCTTTACCTTTCAAGAGAACACGCTTAACAGATGACATTATTGAACCTAACGATTTTGCCTTAAATATAATGATGAGTACAGACACATTGATTCGGTATGTGAAGTAAAACTGGTCGAATGAAAATACAAGAATTACTCTTCTTGTATCCATGTGATAATGTTTAGTGTAAAACGCATTCAAATAATATGAATACCTTAAACAAAAATCACAACATTTACAGTGAAAATATTGTAATGTAATCGATTAGAATTTGAAATTATTCTGTGAATTCAATATATGGATGTAAGTAAGTCTGTTTACGGCTACTAAGAGAGTAGTAAATCGTAATTGTATTTGCCACCAGCAAACTGATTTAATCCAAATTATGCATATCAATTTGTTTTGTTATTTTGAAAAAGTGTTACCAGTCTGGCAGTGTACAAAACTATTTATACAAACCATGCATGGCACAGTCCCCGTTAGTTATCAAATTTAAGATATATAGTTTTGTTTATAGTAATATAGCTGGAATATAACCATGTCAGGAATATGATTATAATGATTGTTTAACATTGAAATGATTGACATTTGTATCTGATCGTCAAACAAGTACTTGTCCATATTGGTCAGTAATTTTGAATCCGATTTGAAAAATAAAATGTTGTGCATCAGGAACCCGTAATGTCTAACGTATGTACTAAGTTTGAACGATATCCATCCATAAATGCCAGAAATGCTTGATATTTGATGAATTTTAGTACAAAAATGGCCACCATTTTGAATAGGATCGTCAAACCAATATATCTGTATATCTATGACATGATGTATAATGAATATTAAACTAGCAGCCTGTCGGCTGAGATAGCTTAGCTGTTATCAATGCACATTTCAATTAAAGAACTGAAGATATCATCAGAAAATGAACAATATGTGTAGTATTAAAGCAATCAGACTTGCTGTTTTCAAAAAAAAAAATGAAAATATAACTTTTTATCAAAAATATTCATTAAAATTAGATAATTTAACAAAATCATCACGAAAAAACAAATCTGAGAGAGGTCTACCTGTAGTACATATGTAGTATTTATAATATCAAAGCAATTAGATTTGCGGATTTTAACAAGAAGTCGCAATTATCACTTTTTACCAAAAATGACAAAAATATTCATGAAAATTAGAGACTTAAAGACATCATCACGAAATGAACAAATCTGAGAGAGGTCCACATGCAGCACATATTTATGTAATATCAAAGCAATTGGACTTGCGGTTTTTAAACAAGAAGTCGCAATTATCACTATTTACCAAAAATAACAAAAATATTCATGAAAATTAGAGACTTAAAGACATCATCACGAAATGAAAAAAATCTGAGAGAGGTCCACATGCAGCACATATTTATGTAATATCAAAGCAATTGGACTTGCGGTTTTTAAACAAGAAGTCGAAAATATCACTTTTTACCAAAAATGACAAAAATATTCATGAAAATTAGAGAATTAAAAATATCATCACGAAATGAACAAATCTGAGAGAGGTCCACATGTAGTACTTACATATTTAATATCTAAGCAATCAGACTTGAGGTTTTTAACAAGAAGTCGAAAATATCACTCTACCAAAAATGACAAAAATATTCATCAAAATGAGAGAATTAAATATATATCATCACAAAATCAACAAATTTGTGAGAGGTCCACCCAAGGTACCTACATGCCAAGTACCGAAGCATTTGGGCTAGCGGTTTTCAAGAAGAAGTCGAAAATAGCATTTTTGACCAAAAATGACAAAAATATTCGCTATAAATAAGACAATTGAACACATCCACACGAAATGAACAAATCCGAGAGAGAACAACCGAAGGTACCTTCCTAGAAAGTTTCACAGCTATACAGTTTGTGGATTTTAAGAAGTCGAAAATGTAAAGTTGACGACGGCGACAGACGCCGATGGACAATCAGTAATACTATAAGCTCCCCTCGTCCTCGTCGACATTGGAGCTACAAATTTGAACACAATCAGTCAAAGCAAGTCAGAGATATGGGCATAGAAGCCCATTCAATAAAACAAAATGCCCGCCAGTGAGTCATTTTGAATCCGATCTGAAAATTAAATTGTTTGCATCAAGGTCCCATAATGTCTAATGTATATATCAAGTTTGAACAAAATCCATCTGTAAACAGCCGGGAAAAGCTTGATTTTGATGATTTTTGAGCACACAAATGGCCGCCATTCGGCCATCTTGAATCAGATCGTGGAAAAAAACTGATGTACATATGTATAATATCATGTATGGTGCATGTGTGAAGTTTGATCATGATTCGTCCAGAAATTTCTAAGATATAGGTCCGGACGCACGCACGAACGCATGGAAGCACGGACACACGGAAGCATGGACGCACAAGGGTCAAAACATTTGTCACATGACCAATCATCAAACAGAATCTCTTGATTCTATTTTTTGAACAGATTTCGCAATTTGGCCCTTCAATTTCATCACTTTCATCACATCCCACTGCTTTAGATCTCCATAATCAAACAAAATACGAATCTCGGATTCGTTATACACATTCAATAAAAAATAGGAGAATATAATAACTCAAAAAGAAATACTGATTTAACACATGTTTTGTAAGTGTCAGTTATGAGATGTAACTGGATATTCAGTGATATGACTCATAAAAACAAATATTTGGTTTTTTGTATTTTGTAAATGGTCCAACCCGAGATAACATGCAATAATAGTCAGACATGTCGATTGTATGATTGAAGCGCGTTTCAGAATATGTTGATTGTGTCACGCCCTCAAGAGTAATACAATGAAAAACCTATAGTTGGTCATTAAAGCATAGCTTAATAAAATAGCTTGCATTATCTGAGACCCAGAATCAAACACAGTCTATATAGAATCTTCTTATATTTTTATTATTGGTAATCGTCACCGAAATTTTGTTAGCAATGTCACGTGATATTTTAAAATGTCATGCTATAAGATTGCTTAAACGAAGGAATTGAATGTAATTTGTGAATCAATAAATCGCAGCCCGAAATACACACGAGTTAAATTAAATATGTAAATGCAATTGTAAATAGTATAAATAAAGCAAATAAATGTGATAATGATGGCGATGTTGGTAGATAAAATTACACTTTTATTTCATTATTTATCTCATTATTTAACACCCAGTTTAGGCGATATTCAGGTGACAGTTGTATGACCTATTGCAATATATGCATTTCTGTAAACTTTACATATGACTGACTTTTCACACTTTATTTTGTGCATGTATCAGAGACAAAATTCAAAAGTCCCTCCTGGTGCCACTTCTGCAATATCGAGTATTCTTGATTGTAACCATGTCGTGTTTTGAAAGACCCAGCTGTAATATTTGTAAACTCTCCAAAATAGTGATAGGGAACAAATCTGCCATCGGGACCAGCTGGAAATGGATAGAATCCATATACACTGACTTTATCACAGAGACATACAGCGACACCAATGGTAAGCATTCCTCCTGTTGGAGCCTTTTTGAATTTCATTGCTCTGGAATAAAAATCATCATGATAAAATGTAAGATTGTTTTCACTTTCAATACAGTTTGCATTCCATCAAGGTGAGAGAAAGAAGAATTAAAAGGGCACACTAAAGTCCTTGTGCAGATTTTGCTTACCTTAGATGTCGAAGCCTAAATATCAACACAAGTGCAAATTCACAACAAGCGTTTGTATTTGGCTGCAATATTAAAAGCTCAGTAGGGGTGCCATAGTTGATAGGAAATTATTATAGCGATTTGATGTCTTGTCAGAAACATTCCCCGCAGAGCTCTTATGCTTGATGCCAAATACCCGGGCATACCATTGATATTCGCAATATTAAGATAGAGATGCATTTTATTTTGCAAATTTTGACAAATTTCACTTTATTTTTTATTGCATTGTATGAACATCTTTTTTTGTGAAAATTTGAAATTAAAATCATTAGTGGAGCTCTGTTAAATCCAATAGGGATGCAAATCAGCATATATTTTTTACTTAATCATAAAATATACAAATTAGCATTTATCTCAGCTTCTTTTTAGTGCACATCCCAGAACTTCAAAAGAAAATAGCTCCTAGGCACTTTGACATTTTTTGTAATTTTTACAAATGATTGACAATGTGTTTATCTTGAAAACGACGCCAGGGCATTGTTTTTGGTTGAACAGTATTACAGCAATCGCACGGACAAGTAGCCTGGGTGTTGAATTAGTGAAATTTGAGCTACTTTCCAGCAAAATTGACAACAGGTAGACAGTTTTCAAGACGGAACTTTCTACATAGTAAACAGATGTACCCGTAAACCAATTTTGACAAGAAACAGAGGCATGGTTTAGAGGCTAATTTTTTTAAAATCACTTTTGACCAAAAAAAAAAAAAACACATTTTTGTGCATATTTCAAACTACAGTGTCCATAAACAAATACGTACAAAATTTAAACAAATAAGCTTTCCGAAAATATATAGTTTTGTGGACAAGGAAGGTCATCTTGGTTGCCCAATTAACTAATTAAAATACCTGTCAGGTAAACTGCATATCTACCTTAAATGCATGGGAATGCATTAAATGGATTATAGATTGATTTCCTAAATAACTATTCTCAATTATTCCAAGCAAATTACGCGCTGGCAGTTTTTTCTTAGACATTACGCGATAATTATAAAATTATTCGTATAAATAGTAAAAAGAAAAATATGTTACTATCATCAAGTAGTTTTGCTTAGTAAATAGTTTGATAAATTTCTGTTCAGATAAATATTCAAACTTACACATTTATTAAGTTTCGGGGTCGAAACAATATAACAGATATACCAGGAAATAATACTAGATATATGACTTGGTTTCTTGTTTTCGCTTATCATATTTAGACTAGACAAATTAATGAGGATGCAGGCTAAATATATTTGCGAATCACGTGCTATTGTAGGTGAATTTTATGAGGTAATTCTAACCATACAAACCTTTACAAAATTGTTAAAATAATTATCTTAAATATATACATTTAATTTACACAAGTTCCTCATTTAAACCAGATATGACTGCGTTCTGTTTATTGGCATTGACTCACTGCAAATACAAATACAGCGTACAAATTGACGTTTTTATCAGGGCAAACACGCATGCAGTGTAGTATTATCAGTAATTTGTGAAAATGGTCGAGAGAGGGCGTATCACAGCTGGAACGTGTTTGTGGAAAACGAGATACTGGGCGATTTAATACCATCTCTAATTTTCTCAAAATATATGAAAGCAATAATAAACGCCTTATTTTGATTTGTTTCGATAGTTGAAAGTGGTGGCATTTGTGACTGCACATATGCAGATATAGAAATATATAAATTCTTAAGAATTCTTTAAGACATATTATTACATAATAATCCCTGTGATATCTCCTGGGATTCAACAAGTGGTCATGGTATTTAACGAGTCGCATAGCAACGAATCACAATACAAAGATCAGAATTAATACACCTCATACAATATCTATGGTGTGATGTGATCAAATAGATATGATTCTCCTATATATTTCGCTATATTCTTTAGAACAAGATGCCCTGCTCGTTGATTGTCAGCAGGCGAACGAAACGCATGGTCGAAATTTATGGAATGCATTTTAATTAATGGGGAAATCGTGATAATGCATACGTTCAATTTAAAGCTAACAATGCAACTGCAGTGACCATGGTTGCTTGAGACGTTTAGTAAATTATATTTGTATAGATTAAAAAAAAAGTATTAAACAACGTCAATATGCAGTCTGCATTATGTGTTATTATTTGTTCTCGGTAGACCATGGGACGCCTGCTAGAACATGCAAAATATACGGTTGTTGACCAGTGATCATAAGCTGTTGTAAGAACAACCTTGAAACACGTTGTTACGTACGCTCCGGCGAGAAAAAAACCAACAACATAAAATATCAATAAAGTATAAGGTCCACCGTGGTACGCAACCCAGAAGAGAAACGGTGTGTATAACATACATAATAACTCACCTTAATATATGACTATAGCTTTGTTCACCTTCCGTGTAAGCCACCTGGAAATTCAGATTAAATTTTGACTTGAGGTACTTGACGGAATATACCAGATTTTTTGTTCTTTTTGTTCGAGATGACCCAAGAGTCCAAAGTATTGTGTTGTTTAGATACCGGAAGTTATCAATGAAATTAGGAGAGTCACTGTTCTTTTTTGCATACTGATGAATGTCTTTAACTCTGGTTAGATTAATGTTGGTTACATTTGTCTTGTTGCCAACATCACGACTGAATCCTTCAATTTCTGGAATGTTGCATCGGACGACAAAGTCGTTGGAGTTGATCTCGTCACCACAACTGCTGTTTAGAAGAATTCCACTGTTACCAACAACGGCGCACGTCTTCTGTCGTGGTATCCTATGCACAGTCATGTTTTCGCCTTTAATTGTAAATGGATTGCCCCTTGCAAAAATTTTGAATAATTGTGTACTATGAAAACAAAAACGAAAAAAAATGATGATGTTCATCATTGAGAGTAAATTATTATTGTCATATTTTCATATTACATACCTATTTTTTATTGCAGTTTCTGTGATATTTATTGGAGAGTGGTTTGTCGGTTGTTCCGTAATATCGCCAGTATGCAGTTTTTCATCGCCTGTCATATTCGTGAGAGAGTTCGTTGTCTGTTGTTGAGTGATATGCGATGACGTTGTCGCTCTGTGAAGGCAATTACATATCCATAGTGGATAGTATATATTCATAGTGAAAATAATTTATATTCGCTTAAATGATATAGATTTATATGAAACTAAAAGTTTATTTCAATGATAATGATTGACTTTTTTAAAATTATTGTTTCACAAATAGAGAATTTATTCACCAATGTAATACATAGTACATGACAAATTAAGACAGCCCACCTTCGCAATGTGTTGACTTTCAAATTAGTACATACATCATATGATTTGGAAAGAAACACACGAATTAATAGTGTGTATGTACCTTAATATCAATAACCTGTTGCCACGAAATTGAATCCAGGCTTCATTGCGTAAATAAACATACATATATATGTATATGACAGATCCAAAAATAATTAGTGATACAAACGTTCTCATCAATGTGTTTTCCATAGTATAAGTTGCTGCAGGTGATTGGGTTGTCTTTTATTCTGTAAAAGGAAGTAATTATATATTAACACTATGTAGATGGTACTAGGTGATGGGCTAGGATTCACCCATATGATGCCAAGTGGTTTAATTCTCTTCATCCCGCACCCAATACACGGAGGTCAGATCACTGATTCTTATGTGCAATTGACGACGCAAATCTGCTTAAAATCAGTTTAAGGGAGGTTGAGCGGGTTATATTCCATGTCTATCATACTATCATACTACCGAGCATGAAGCAATATATAAAGTCCCTAATACTAATACTTGTAAAAGGAAAATATCGATCTAGATCTGTACATATAACCCGGATGTAAAACACCATGCACAGTACAGTCAGGTTCACTGCAGGTCAGCGTCCTCTCTGCGACGAATGCATATGATAACGTGTACCACGATTTGTTGACCTCGTATAGTCCGACATTTACTCTGTTGTTTTAGAAACCCAATTATATGTACGGGCAAAGCTAGCAAGTTACAGATATCAGCATTTAGTATTACGAAGTTAGATCAATGTTAGCATGACACATCCTGGTTTACCAAACACATAAGTATTATAATACCGTACCAACAAGACACTATCATTGACAAGTCCCTGTCAAGTTTATAGTGACTTTCAACAAATACTGGCGCCAAATAATTACCTACACTCAAGTTACAGACATGATTCAAACTGCAAAGTTTATTTGTGCACTTCCTTCCTGTAATCTGCATATTATAATGCATTTCTAAAAATGGCGATCAGTCTTTGCATTTTTGAATCAGATTCTAAAGCAAATGCAAATAAACATTTGTTACATGATGTATGTGAAACATTTAAACATGATCAGACCAGCCATTATAGTAATATGACCCCCCAAAACAGCATCCCCAAGTCAACCATTTTGAATCAACTCTTAAAAAAACATGCATCAAAGATTCATTATGTATTTCTTAGCCATGATTAACTACTGAGGCACTGAGACGATTACAAAGCCGGTGAAAAATAAAAGAGGAAAGTGCATGAGATATTAATTTTTTTCTGGAAGATAGTGTCAACGTGCTGATATTAGGTGTAACTGGGATGGGGAGGATATTACTGCGTGTGTGTGTTCTATAGCCTCTTTTGAAATCAAATAAGCATCTTGTCATATTTTATCACAGGGAATAACAAGCCCGCACTGCTTATTATTGAATAATATGTTCTGCTTTTAATTTTAGCGTTGGAATTGAGAACTTTTCCGCTACTATTGTACTCTTTCCTAAATTAACTACGAGCATAACCGAAAATAAATTTCGAATACACCAAGGAATACGGGTGGCCTTGCAGTAGTAAGTGTTGCAGCTACATTACTGTCTCCAACTAAACTAGTTTATGTGCCAATGAGGTTGTGATAATATTTACTACTCCCACAGCCATGGCGTCCCTAGTTTGCTGGGTTTTATATGTTTTCTTACGCGTATTGTTGCATGCTGGATTGTAATAATCAAGACTTGCATTGAATGTAACTTTCTTTCTCCTGACGTTTTTATGTACAAATCGCAGGTGAAATATAATGCTTTTTACCACAGGGAACTATGTGACAGTGCTTTGTGGCAAGCAGGTACCTGTGTTCGGCCGAGGTTGACTGAGGTCAGGCAATCACCCCATGACGCTCAGAGTTCCTGAATGCTATCTTTGTTTTTCACTGGTGGACCGATTCTGATATATTTATCTACTCTATCATAAGGCATATCTGGTGTAATTTGGTTGAGGACTTAGCCTATTACTGTATGTTAAATAACAAATGGCTCTGTGGCTTTTGCAATTTTTTTAACATTTTAGTTGAAGGTATTATCAGAATAAGGATAGAAAAAAAGGCTTTACACATAAAGCGATTAATGTAGCCTCTCCGGGTAAGACACTACTTCTTCTGCCAGTCATCAACAAGTACTGTTTCTAGAGAAATAACCTCCCTGTTGCTGTGTGTTGGTATTCGCATTCATCGTTACTGTGGCATCGCATGAATGAAGGTGGTACATTTTAATAATGTGATACCCAGGCAACAGTGAACTATTTGCAGTTTAATCATGATCTTCCATCGTCATAATATACATGAAAACAGACTTTTATGTGCACAAAATGGCGTTTCTTTGCAATATACCGGCATACATTAAATGTATTATACAGACAAATACATAATTAGATTCGGTCATTCTCAGGGTAAATATGAGTATACTGTCTTCGAATATAAGTTAATTTTCACTATACCTTATGAAAATGTTTCTTTGGCCATACTTTGATGAGACTTGATCACCGGAGTTTACCCTGGATGTGTACATATATTACAGATGACGTGTAGAATATATCACCCCTGGCGTGTACAAATATGACCTTTGATTGGTACATAAATTACACAGGTATCACACATGGCATGAGTTAAATCTACACGCTCTTTGATCTTCCTAATACAAGCACTTGATTGATTTGACGATGATGTGAATGAGCGGGGCAGTCACTAGTTTTGGAACTGCTAGATATTTCTTATATTGCTTTTTATTGAATGTCACATTGTAAGGCCTGCTTATTGCAATTGAGAGGGCCACCCACAGAACACACACTGGACAGGGGGTTCTTTCATTGCTCGTATGGGGTAGACAATACACTAGTACTAGAAATGTAATACACATACACCAAAATATCGAGTTAAAGCTCCTTACTTTAATACCTATCAAAATAATTACAAGTAATAAAGCACAATAAAAATACAATGCATAAATAAAGTCACTAAAATAGGGGATTGCCTGGGAAAGTGTGCATTGGTTATAACTCACAGTTCCCGGATGTAGAGATGAACGGAAGTCAATGGCTTCTGCAACACAACAAAGAAGAAATACAGGAGTCTTGCCTGCAGAGGAACGCTGTTATTCTGGACGGCACAACTGAAAGCAGGAGATCATAGAGCAGTTCACACAAGTCTCACAGAACGATGATTGAAACCTGTATTACTTGTCTCACAATATCGCAGCAGCTACACACATGATACACAGTAGAAATGATGAATTCCAACTGTTCCCAGTCTGTCCAATTTATAGGCATAAATGGCTCAGATTCAGGGACACCACCTAGGTTTCCACATGAGCCAATCAGAATGTGTTTTTGCTAGCAGCGGTCTCGTCTCACGTAGGCAACTCAGTAGATCGTAAACAATTTTTTATTCAAATAACAGCACACCTGGTAGATTATAACTGTCCTTCCAGAACTGAAAAAAAAAATATTACCTGTCAATCACCTTTGTGACATTTATCATACGGCAATGCACATCGTTTCTTCCCATGATTCCATGCACATTTCTGTTTGCAGGGTTTGAGGTAATATAAAAAAAACACAGAATAAAGGATGCTCAAATTCCCCCCCTCATTAAACCTGCACAAGCCACATTTTCGGTCCAATAATCAGCATCACTACCAATGAATTTACATTTCTCAAAGTTTCCAATAAATATTGTAACAGTAAATATAAGCATTCTCAATTCTGCTTAAATAGTCTGCACCTATATTTTTCTTTACCTTTAATTGCTATAATGCAGTAGGTAAAAGATTGCAAATATATGGCCCACCGCATTGACCTACTGTTTACTTCTCGTGTCTTGTTTAAATAAATTAATGACTGGTGATCACTCTCAAAAATAAATTCTTTAGCATATAAATATTGGTGAAATTTATGCAATACCCCAAATCACTGCCAAACACTTCCTCATATTGCTGCAATAAGACCGAGCACAACTTTTGATGCATCGCATCTCAAAATAAAACTCTTAGTAAAATCAGGCAACCTTAAAATTGGTTGCTTACTCAATAAAACTTTCAAGTGATTAAAGGCATGTTTCTGGGTATCTCCCCAGACTACCTTTCTTAGCTGACCTTGTCTGATCAAATCTCTGAGAGAAGCTGCTTGTGTAGTAACATTTTGCACAAATTTGCGATAGTATCCAGCCATGCCTAAAAATGACTTTACTTGCTTTACGCATGCTGTATAGCTTCTATTTTATCTGGCAATACTTGCAAAATACCATAACCTCGCTGGTGACCAATAAACTATAAATTACCAAAACCAAAGAAACACTTTTTATAGGCCTTGTGGTTAACCCTGCCTTCCTCGAACATGTCCTCCTTCGATTTTGAATAAATTAAAATGTCATCAATGAAATTCTCAAATTTACCTTCAAGACCTACCTACAAAATACGCATCATACGGGGAAAAGGGCTGGTGCATTCACAAGCCCGAAAGGGGTTCGTCGAAACTGAAATAGACCATCAGAGGTGAGGTCTTTTCTTTAGCCCCTCAATCATGGCGATCTGCCTGTAACCCTTGGTGAGAAAAAATTTTGGTGAAATTCCTACCTTCTTTTAATTGTGAAAATTGGTCTGATTGATGGCATTAGTTCTGCAACGAACACTGTAATTCGATTGAGTTTGCGAAAATCAATGCAAAACATAACACCCCCTCCTTTCTTATTTACCAAAACAATGGATGAGGCATAAGGTGAATTTGATGGTTCAATTACACCCTCTAACATACTCTTAATCTCTGACCTCACTATATCTGTCATAGCGAATGGTAAAGGGTATAGATTTGACCTGACTGGTTCAGATGTTACCAATTTAATATCATGCTCACCAATTTTATACTTTTAGAGGTTACAGTCGATGTGTTCATATCTGGTGTAATTGGGTCGAGGATATTACTTATCACTGAATGTTTAATAACAAATGGCTCTGTGGCTTTTGCCAATTCTTTAGTTCAATATAATATCAGAATAAGGTTAGAAAAAAACATTTACACGATTAATGCGATAAATGTAGCCTCTATTGAAATAAAATGTATTTACACACAATAAATATTTATTTTCACTTATACAAATTATGAAAACCGGGTCAGACACTACTTCGTCTGCCAGTCATCAATATCAACATCTTCCTGTTGCTGTGTTTTGGTCATTCATCGTTACTGTGACATTGCATGAATGAAGGTTGACCATTTTAATAATTAACTTGTGATACCCAGGCAACAGTGGAAGATTTGCAGCTCGCTTAATCATGATCTCCCATCGTCATAATATACATGAAGACAGACTGTTATGTGTACAAAATAGCGTGTATTTGCAAAATACCGGCATACAGTAACTGTATTATAACGGCAAATACATAATTATAACCAGTCATTCTCAGGTTAAATGTGAGTATACTGTAATATAATATGAGTAAATTTTCAATATACCTTGTGAAAATGTTTCTTTAACTATACTTCAATGCGACTTGTTCACCAGAGTTTACCCCGGATGTGTACATATATTACAGCTGACATGTGCAAATATCAATCCGGAGTTGTACAAATATGACCTTTGATGTGTACACAGGTATGACACATATCATTAATGAATCCCAGTAAAATCTGCATGCCCTTTGATCTTGATATGGCTGATAGCTCTCGGTAAATGTACTGTTTATATCAGGGAGCTGACTGTACATTATTGATGTGATGATGCTGGGGAGGGGGCGGTCGCAAGCTTTGGAACTGCAAGGACATTTCTCATATTGCTTTTTGTTCAAATCCAAGGTATTATTGTCAGCATTCCCAAACAATGGAAAATCTATAAACATTGAATACGGAATTGTTATTATTGTATGTGTATTCTTTAACAAGTAAATACATTAATAATAGTTTATGTGAACAGTATTAAACTCATTCAACAGCTCGATAATGTTTCACTAGATTAACCGAAATTTTACGTGAATTGCGTCAAGACCAAGTTCTGTGCAAACAATCGCTTAGTAATATCAGAATATTTGAATAGCAAATTGTAAATCTCGAAAAATTATCCATGGATCCGCAATCACGAAAGCTAAAAATTGAACGGGCTAACACAAATGTCCTAATTATTTGCTATTTTTTTTATTAGACGTTTTAGATTAAGAAGATATCTGCAGATAAGTTTGAAGGTTTGAAAAAAATACACGTCAGGGATGGTATGTGTACACGTCCATGTTATATGTGTACATGTCAAAGGTCAGAGGTGATAAGTGTACACATCAACTGATACAGGCTCACAGGTGTGGTAGGTATACACATTATAATATGAAACACGTCGTCTCAGGGGAACTAGCTGCTCCCGGACAAATAACCAAAGACGTATTTACACAAGGTATATATACAATTAATTATTAATCGTAAATAACATCTTCACAGTTATCACTACAGAGGAAAAACTGTGATGTATTCGCTGGACGGTATCATACATTGTACAGTATGGCTGAGTAAGGAGCACATCGTAATAATGCGAGCTGCAAATGTTTTGCTGGTGCCTGGCATAATTTTCACAATTCATAGAACCTGATTATTGACGTGTGCCCAGCTTCGCCATCGCTACCTCCACACATAGTGAATCCGTATAACAACAACAACAAGTTAATGAATCATGCATTTCAGTATGATGAATGGCGTCAGGCAGACCACGTGATAAACAAAACAAAACTACGAGAAAACAAGAAGCAGAAATGCGAGCATGGCCTGATTTTGTGAATTAAAATATATCGATTAATTAATTTTATTAGCAGGCTATAAATTGTAATGGATATTGGAGTATATTGTTCAATGTCCTACCATGATATTTGTATTATAAATAAACTCACGCCCAGCTGGTCCAGGTACTGTTATTTTTTAATGATATACAAAAGGTCGTCAAGTATAGATAGCTAAAGTTGTACCTTTACAGTGTACGGCAGGTACTATCATACAACAGACCACAACTATGATAAGGGTTTAATTGGTAATAATATAAGCAATGGAAAGGATAACATGTTTTCAATTTAGTGCATATTATTTTAAGATAGTGGTATTTGATTTTTTTCCCCGTGTAGGGTGAGTTTTTGCCTTGAACAGAACTTGTTCTGTAGGTTAGTAATTACTAATATAATGAACATTACATTTGATTCTATACTTTACTGTCAAGTTTTTGAACTTAAAACTGATGCACTAAAGAAGAGTACGTATTTAGAGCTTATAACAGGTAAGCGAGGGTATTTAGTAGCAGATATAAGACCTCTCTGTGCAAAATTAGCATATTTGGTAGGAAAAAATAACCGAGCTTGAACAATTATATGCATTTACGAAACAGACGTCAGATTCGGAAAGTACGGGACCGGAAGAGTCGATAACGTTACGTTATTGATTCAAACGCTATTGTGCACGAAGATTTTTTTCGCAAATTGCGCAATATATTAAAATTGTATTTCAGTGACTGGGCGAGATCACAGGTTTTCTAATACCAGATATTAAACTTTGTTTCAGCCATTCAGATTCAGATTGACCATGTTATAATGTGAGATAATGTCTTAGCACTTTCATTGTGTGTACTTCCTTTGAACAAATTTATGTAACTTTAGTTGAGGTTATATCAGAATCCTACTTCTGAACACTTGCAATGTTTCGCCAATGAGCAACTTTTTTATAGCCTTTTTCAAAGTAATTGTCTTACCAAACGTACAGAACGCAGCTTATAAAATACATTTATTTACATGTAACAGGCCTAAACACACACATCTGTATTCATAATTCAACTCAGTTAATGTATAATATCTTCTGCTTCCCATCAACAGACACTTACATGATCTAATTTATGTGAGCGCATGGTCTACATCTAGCAATGAAATATACTAGTATGTCAGTGGCCTTCCTGTTGCTGATTTGCATCGCATCATTTGCGTATATATTTATATCTGCATATTCGTCGTCTGTGGCTTTACAGCGTTCACAGGATTAGCACACGCTACGTGGAGGTGAGAATTTGATTGATTTAATTGTGACAAGAATTCCACGTTTGGTGTCTTAAGGGAATTCGAGATCATATTTAAGGTGTGTAAACCTGTGACTCATCAATGAATAGGAACCGTACATTACCATTTGATCTTCTCATCTGTATAGTTGCTATGTCATGTTCTATAACATTATGTTTATGATTCAGTATCTCAATCTTTACATTTGCTCATCTAGAAACAACGCATCTTTGATGACAGTTCACACCACGCAAAATGACGTCACACATATTGACAATACCAGAGATGAAAATCAAACAACGATCAGGTAAATAGCACCAGGATACACGCAGCTAACATACTTTTAACACAGGAATATCATGATAATTTACTGGTTTTCCTCTGTCTTGTTTTGCGAAAATGAATGGGAAAAACACTTTCGTTTGTAACTGAAATAATAATAATAATAATAATAATAATAATATTAATAATAAAAAATGTTTGTTTGAGGTACTTATACTAAATATTGTTTGAAATGCTTGAATGGGAAACACGGTAATGTGGCGATATTCAGATTTGAGACGATGATCAATGAAAACGCTGAATTATTGTCAAGAATATTTTCTTTAAATCGCAGGGTTATAACGATTAGTGTGTTTAATAGCAGTGTGTTAGCGTGCATATATTCCATTCAATTCGACAACCATTCGCCATATAAATATACTAGAGCTCTGATACTAGTAATAACTAAAAACTAATTAATTAAAAAAATAACAAGTGGAATAAACCCGCACATATACTGTCTAGAAAACAAACCGTATCTCGTACTAAATAGGTCAACTCTTACACACAGACTCGTCGTACAATACATTACCAATGATTTACTGTAACTCATTAACTAACACAAGTCTATTTATGTCACCTAATCGTCTTTTATCTTATATAAGTCTGTTCTTGCCTACAACAACGTGTCAGTGTATTTATATGTATTTACTACAGCTATATTTACACGGCGTTTGACCTTCAAACCTGATGCTGTAAACAGTCTGATCACGACGCTGCACAGTAACATTAACAATTACGCAAACACTATTCGTGTATCTCTTTCTCAAATTACCGTCGTAATGCGAGATTTATTTAGCAACTTGTACACCTTGCATAACAGCAACCACAGAGAAGCATTGTACACGCATTATCACTGAGACTAAACAAATATCTATAGGACGCGTTTTGGGATTTTCAAAACCATAGCAAGATTTCAATGTCGTGTCTCTATTAAGAAGAACTCGGCTTTAGTTCTGATTATCACCACACATAAACAGATCGGTTACATCGCCTGGTTTAGGTAACGTATCCCAGAGCAAAATCATATATTATTAATCCACTTGCTATGCAATATTATCACCACCCGAGTAAAGTACGCAGCGACTTTGACTTTGTGCGACCAGTCAATTTTATCTTCAGCCAAGTGTATAAACACAGCACGTATATTAAAGAGTAACGTGACTACGTCAGTATATCACCTAAAAATTATTGGATCAATCACGCCACAATTAGGGGCACGATAACCGCAAGTTATACTATGTGAACTTTGCTCAGCAATTTTCAAGCAAGAGATTATACTTACACAATGTATTCCAAACCAATATTTAGAGTACTATCGATTATTTCTGTTTATCCCCAAATTTCGGCATTAGATATTGTCTATTTCCGTTCCAGCTATTTTTTTTTTACCAACGAATCAAGTTTTTTACCGAGCGTAAAACTAAGTGTAAATCTCTCTGATTGGTAATTTAATTAATTTTTGAGCATGGCAACATTACGTAATTCCGGTCATGATTTTATCATCGAGGTTATGAAGTTGATAAAACGTGATGTGTGAGAGATTACTTCAATTACATGAGCTGTACAGCTTTATTTATTGACAATTACCGATGAGCTTTGAATCCGGGCATCTCTCGATTAGATACTTCGAACCTTTTAATTATTTGGATTTTCCTTGTATACGAAATTACTTGTCTAATGATATTTTATCGTACGCAAGTTGTGTGTGTTCAAGCACACATTTTCATGAGGTCAACTTTACTGATATGTTAGATGAAGGGCAAAATAACTGGAATTTTTTTATCATCATTTTACCACCATTTTATTTATTTATTTATTTATTTATTTATTTATTTATTTATTTATTTATTTATTTATTTATTTATTTATTTATTTATTTATTTATTTATTTATTTATTTATTTATTTATTTATTTATTTATTGCAGACATGCCTGACAATTTGTAGTGCTGTCATTACCAATTTACCCAATTCAATGTTTAATGAATTCAAATTCACTAACTGACAATTAATATAACTACCAACAGTTGACAACATATGTGCATTACAACTAACAAGTAACCCAGTAATCCTGTTTGCAAATTGGCGTTAAGATTTCATTGAGTATTAGAAGAAATTGTTCTGCTCCCGCAAAAAAAAGTGTAATATTTTCGACCGACATCTTACCCACTTTTCCCATGCCTATGTAACCATGAATATTACCAAAGTACCAATAATAATTCTTGAGTAACTGAAACATTTTTTTATCAAGTAATGGGATGCCGTACTCGGATAATTACTATATGTTACTCTCCACAAAATATATATCAGTTTGATCTACTCTAAGGAAATGTCACAATCATCAGCTGTAAATTTCTCTTTGTTTAGGATATATCACCCCCAGATGGTTATCAATGTATTTGTTTTAAAATCCCGGCATTCTACCCTTATGCCTGTATTAAATGATAGTCGAGCAATTACATCGTTATCCACAGTTTAAATATGAGTGACTAATGGAGGAACCTCAATCTAAGATACCAAGCGAGTGGTTAAGAATCCCCGTCTCCAAAACTGAGCCGTTACTCTCGTTTATTCTTTAGATGAAACCACCGTTACACCACCTTTAATTCGACCCGAAAGCACAATCCTGTCAAGGAATGTGTTTACATTTAATCCTGTTAAATAATATAATGATATTCACACGTTTTCCGTATTGAGTATTACCACTTTTTCGAAATCATTTGTACGAATATTTGATATTAGATATGTTTTCAGCAAATCTTTTCAAATACCAACCATCCACCCAATAGTACTAACTACTTTCCCGTGTTTGTTTTTGTAGCAGCAGCAAACCGATTTTCAATATGTTTGCGAAGGGAAACCCATTCACAATCAAAAGAAACAACGAGTCTGTTTTGATACCACGACAGAAGACATGTGCCGTGGTTGGTAACAGTGGAATTCTCTTGAATAGCAGTTGTGGTAGAGAAATCGACTCCAATGACTTTGTTATCCGCTGTAACCTTCCGGACATTGAGAAGTTTAGTCATGATGTTGGGAAGAAAACGAATATAGTTATTCTTGACAAAACCAGAGTTTACGATATATTCAGTTATGCGAAGAAACACAGTGAAACTCCTAATCTCTTAGACAACTTTATTTTCCTAAATAACACTGTACTTTGGTCAATCGGTTCAAACAAATCTATTCGAACCAGACGTCTAGTTTATTCAACGAAATATCTCAAAGAACAATTTGACCTGACTTTCAATGTGACTTACTCCAGTTCGTTAAGACACTGTTTTAGGTGAGATTCAATAAATACGGTGAAAATATACCATTTCGTAGAATTTGACAACCATGTGACTTTTATTATATATATCACCTGTTGATCCCAGGAAATGAACGGTCATTATGAATTATAACATGTATATGGCTCGAATCGTATCCAATACAGAACATTTCGAACATTTACATAGTCAATATTATACTTTACGATATATTCAGTTATGCGAAAAAACACAGTTCAGCTCCCAACCTGCCAGACAACTTCATTTTTCCAAACAATACTGTACTTTGGAAAAACAGCTCACCCAAAATCAGACATCTAGTTTATGCAACGAACTATCTCAAAGAAGAATTTGGCCTGAATTTCAATGTGACTTCCGCTGGTTCGTTAATAAAATGTTTTAGGTGAGATTCAATGAAAGCGCTGAACATATATCATTTCGTAGAAGTAATTTTACAACCATGTAGTTATATGACTGCCATTATATAAATCACCTACTGTTGCCAGGAAACGAATAAACAATATGGCCCTGCCTTTTGCCCACATTGTAATACAGATTTCCAAACATATTTACCAGATCAACATTGCACTTGCAGTTTTAACGTTCCTACTGCTATCTACTTCACTAATATTTTTGTTTCAATTTCAGGTTACTGAAAATCAAAAGTATGGTAACCGCGGGGATGCATGCCGTGTGTGCTACATTGTATCTTTGTGACAAAGTCAGCATTTATGGATTCTATCCGTTTCCCACTCGACCAGATGGCAGTGTTATCCCCTATCACTATTATGACGAACTGACATTTCCAAATAAAACACGACATAATTACAGTAAAGAGCAGTTAGTGCTACAATCATTGGGTAAAGATGGACTTTTACATTTTGTATCTGACAGATGCAATCCATGACATAAACATCAATATCATTGTGCTGGGAACATCCGAGGTTCAATATAAACATTATAAATGCAGAATTACCATTGCGATAGGTTTTAGTAATAACTGTATGTAATGACTTTTGTGATAAATATAGCACATTATTCGCGAAATCGACAACTACAATGTATGAGGAATTATTTTTCACATACCATCAATGTGCGTAAATATTAAATACAGAATAGATATATATTGCTCCCATTAACTTATATTTTTGTGTTTTGCTTTATCCTGCAAGCTACCATTTTCTTCATATAATGTGTTTTTTTTGTGTGTGTACAGTGGAATTCTATCAATTATCATTCCTATTCCATTCCTGAAATGCCACAGCGTCAACTGAACGTATTGAAGCTTTGCAAGTCCCTATTTTTACGACGATAATTTTAGTACGGGACGCTTGATTGTTTCTGGTATTAATTGTCACATTAATTTAATAGTTGATGTTAATTGTGTTGGTTAGTTAAATGTTGTCAACTGAAGACAAATTAGCTCGTTGGTGAATTGAACTTGGATGTGTCTTTATACGTTAGTGATAAATTACCTTTTGTATTTTCGAGTTACGGTTATATATACGGCAGCACTATGATTCCCTAAAACATATATCGGTCTTGGGACGCTTGTCTGTTTTTGTAGTAATTATTACATTGTCTTGGCACCAATAAATACCACAGTATGGCTAGTATAAGTTCCCCTTACCTTTCGAAAGGACAAACCAATGATTACCATCAAAGGGTTTCGGAAGTCGACTGTACTCGCTTAACAGGTGGCCTTATTGGAATTAACGATCTGGCCTCAAATTTACTGATGAGTACATGATATTTAGCCATATAAAGCCAACGTTTCTTCAATCCCCGACTTTCTCACCAACAAGAGCAACTCATTTGCAAGTTCCACGATCTATGATAACTTCAAATCCAATCGGTCAGTTGTTCGATGTTAGTAACGTTGGCTAATTAAACAATGAGTTAAATTGTTCAGCAGTTTTAATTTTAAATGCAAAACATATCAAAGTACCAATTCCATATTGCATAATGTGCATTTAGCAATTGTTTGTTTGATATATAACAGAGTACAGCGTGCTCTCTCTAGTAACAACTGCATGAGTTGTAGTCGACTACTACAGATCAAAACAATATTGATGCATCGTGTTACCTATTTATGTGATAGAAGGGGTTCGTCGCTAAAGGGCGCGATCTTTTTTGCTAACACGTACTAGAAACTCAAGCGTTAATTGATTGGTAAATATATTAAACATATTTTTGTAGATTTCTTGTATGACGTATGATGTATTAAGAATGAGAATATACACTTATTTTGCGTAAAATTGAATTCTATTAATTTTTGAATTTCTCAAGAAAACAGGGTAATTTCAATCGTTTTTTAATGGAACGGCCATATTGGTTGCTGATATTTCTCTAATTAGACAAATAAAGAAAGAATGGTCTCACACCAGGAATGTTAGTCAGCTAAATAACAGTACTATGATGATAATAGTAGCACCCATTATAATAACAATGTCATAACGGTGTTCATAGGTAGCGTTGGTCTTCGTAAACAATTCTGTTCAAATTGTTTTTAAAACACTTTTAGTGCGTTTTTTCCCTCGGTCAATCACATCATAGAGGTTCAGGGCGGAAATATTCCATTCCCATTTGACTATGCCAAATAAGATAAAGATATAACTTACAGATTCAACACTCTATTAATTAAAACCAAGCAATTTTAAATCAATCTAGGTATCGCGTTTGTTTTCGGGCAGTGTCCTCACTAGTACGTGTGGAAGATTGTTTGTTGGCAACTGGTTTAGATGACGTTGCTTCGATCAGTTTATTAACATTTGATTTTTACATATATTTTTTGTTTTCAATAGAATTGGTAGTGCTATTTTTGCTATCAGTGACATTATCAGTTTGCATATAATTTAGGGTAGTTTTATCAGTATGGTTTAGGTTTTGGTTTGTTATCATTTTTTGGTTTGTATTTTGAGTAAGAACAGGTGTTATGGCTACAATTACTTGTTGTTCATTGACATATAAAAGCTGAACTGAAACTTAACTTTCGGTTTAATTAGCCAAGGTTACTAACATCGAAAAACTATCCGATTTTATTCGGGAAAAAAACATTATCTTAGCTCTTGAAACTGAGTTTTTGGTGAAAAGAAGTCGTGGTTTGAAGATTGTGGCACTGGCGATCAGAAAGAACTTAATTTGATATTGCCGCACTATACATAAATCCAGTCTAAGTAAGTTAGCCCCCCTAAATGTACACACCAGTAATTTCAATAATGTTACCTGTTAAGTGACTACGGTAAAATAGCAGTAATGACTATAGTATAAAATTGATAAAATTCCGCTTTAGACAAATAAAGTTTACACTATTTTCTAAATATAGTTTACGTAGTACAAACGATAACAGCTTAAAAAGTAAAGTAATTCACAAAATATCAGTTTACGTAAGCAATATATAACTAATCTGCATTTTGTGTTTAAACTCAGATCATCACACAGGACTCATCGATTGTATGTGAAACAATATGGCTCATACATTGTAGTTGTAAATTTCGCGAGTAATGTGCTTGCAGATTGCTACATTTATTACTTAAGTTATTACATACATTTATTACTAAAGTCTATCGTAATGGTAATTCTGCATTTGAGCCACGAATGTTACCAGCAAAATAATCTTGATGTTTATGTCATGGATTGCATCTGTCAGATATAAAAAGGAGATGCCCATCTTTGTCCAATGTCTGTAGAACTGAGTACTCATTATTGAAATTATGTCGTGTTTTGGTCGGTAAGGTCAGTTCGTCATAATAGTGAAAAGGGATAACACTGCCATCTGGTCGAGTGAGAAAAGGATAGAATCCATAAATGCTGACTCTGTCACAAAGACGCAATGCAGCACACACGGCCTGCATCCCCGCGGTTATCATGCTTTTGATTTTCAATAATCTGAAATTAAAAAAAAAACATATTAGTAAAGAAGATAGAAGGAAAGGGTAAAACTGGAAGACCAAGTTAATATGACTCTGTAAATGTTGAAAATTGTATGGATAAGATGCGGGCCATATACATGTTATAACTCATAATGACTTTATTTCTGACATCAACAGGTGATATATATATATATATATATATATATATATATATATATATATATATATATATATATATATATATATATATATATATATATATATATATATATATAGTCACATGGTTGTCAAATTCTACAAAATTATATATTTTCACCGTATTTATTGAATACGAATCTCACCTAAAACACTGTCTTAACGAACTGGAGTAAGTCACATTGAAATTCAGGTCAAATTGTTCTTTGAGATATTTCGTTGAATAAACTAGACGTCTTGTTCGAATAGATTTGTTTGAACCGATTGACCAAAGTACACTGTTATTTAGGAAAATAAAGTTGTCTAAGAGATTAGGAGCTTCACTGTGTTTCTTCGCATAACTGAATATATCGTAAACTCTGGTTTTGTCAAGAATGGTAACATTCGTTTTCATTCCAACATTATAGCTAAACCTCTTTATGTCCGGAAGGTTACAGCGGATGACAAAGTCATTGGAGTCGATTTCTTTGCCACAACTGCTATTCACGAGAATCCCACTGTTTCCAACAACGGCACATGTCTTCTGTCGTGGAATTAAAACAGATTCGTTGTTTCTATTAATTGTAAAAGGATTTCCTTTCGCAAAACGAT